TCAAATGTGAGGTTCACCTAGATGAGCCTATTTAACATACTTTAGATAAGAAGCGACTCCATTTTGATGATGGCTTATTGGAATTGAAAACTCAAACCAATGTTGAGATTACCTGCTCTTGGCAGACATAAAGCTTTTGACCCATCATGCTAAACTGCAGTGATGGGCAGACAGGTTCCTTTCTGTGTTGGCCAGGATGCCTGTCCTGAAGAGGTGCCCATATTCGAGGGATCTGAAACTCGAGGAAATATCTCAATTCTTCAATTTGAGGCTTGTCTGCAATGAACGTTATCAGAATCAATAACCGGCGGCCAATAAAGACATACACCCTCCATCCTGTGCCAAGGGGCACAAACCACCTTTTTTTGTTGTCCCATCCCAAAAGGCACACCCCTAATTTTGACATAACAGCCTTATTTTATTCAATCATGTTTTTTTAATCTTTTCAATCACTTTTACACTCTCTTTTGCTTTTTCAATCACTTTTAGACTCTTTCCCTACCTTTTCAATCACTTCTGCAAGTTTCCTTAATCTCCACAAAAAAAAACTCAGTGTCCTTTGGCATGGGACGGACGATGTACTCTGTATAATTTAGTATTCAGGGAATAAGTGGGAAAAGAATTAAGGTTCCGTTTGGTACACAGAATTCAAGCTATGAAATTGGAATTGAGGACAACAATTCCAATTCTGTTGTTTGGTAGCACAAAAATACGTGGATTTAGAATTGGAAGTGCCAAAAATAAATTGGGATTGGAGAATTTGATTCCATCCAAATCAATTCAATAGGATTTCAATTTTCAGTTCAATTCCAATTCTGTCAATTCCGTGTACCAAACGGACCCTAAAGAAACTTGTGCACTATTGCTTCCTCCTTACATTCAAGGTAGAGATTTATGGCACGTGACAAATGTTCCTTTCCTTTCACTCCCTCAAGGAGCATTGTGATTGGGAAAAAAGACATCTCAATGACATCTGGTGAAGATTTGACAGTTTTAGCCCAATGAATGTGGCTTTGCTCTAGATCATCTCCTCCCCTTCGTCTGAAAATGACTGTAACGTCCTGCATAAGATCCATCAAATAAAATTCAGGTCCACTAAACTCAATAATATCTTAACCTAAACACGATAAGATATTTAGAAAAAAAAATTATTAATACTCCGTACCTCTTTCCCATTCCCAGCAAGAAACGGAGCACTAGTAGGCTGAGGGTATATCCCCTGGCTATTGAATAATGATGGATCACTGCCCTGAAAAGTCAAACTACCAAGAAAGAGTTAGAAAACAAAGAAACAAGCTGACTGAAGAAAAGAATATGAAGTAAGGAACTAGCCTTATCCTTGTACTTCAATAGCCCAGAGTTTGTAAGGCTCTCGATGCTGGAAAACCTCTGGTTTCCAATTTCTTGAATATAATTCTTTATCTCTACGGTAGATAGAGGGGACGAGAGATGCTGCTTAACATAAATTACATCTTTGCCCCCGATAGTGATGGATGTAATAACGTGTGTCCCAAAATTTTCTATGAAGCTGAAACGAAACACGACCACATTCATATTAGTAAATTGAATGCTAGCGAGTCTGCAACAGTAATTGAAGCGAGTTTATGGCACATCCAAACCTAGCCAATGCGGGTGGGTCCCATGACATTGGCACAGCTCTCCTGACATTTTCTTGCAAAACCAGGGGCATTTTCATCAGCTCAATTTTAGCGAGTGGAATAAAAAATCCATCCATACAAAGGGTCTTTGTCGTGGCAGCATCTATTTCCTTTGAACCAGTGAAGCTGAATGCAGCATTGAAGCTACCGAGAGGAGCATGCCCTGATAGATTGGCCTTTCTATTGAAAAACTCCACCATCTGTATATAAATTATATTTGAAGAAACTTTAGTTACTATTCCCAAAAAAGAGTCCGAGAATGGTAAATTCTGGATAGTGTTTAGTTACACACACAGACACTGCTCATTAATAAACTAGAGAGTGATGCTGCAAAAGACAAATGGATATCTCCTACCTCTATGCCCTTCACCAAATGAGTAGTTCTCCAATGATCAATCCAACTTAATTACAGTATTAAGTATGCTATATGCCCTTCCTATCCATATTTACCACAACAACAAAAAACAACATTACCGCAAGGTGGGGGGGGGGGGTTGGATGTACTCAGCCTCACCCCTATGTTAAAACATAGAGCGTCTGTTTCCAGTTGGCCCATGATCAACGTCGAAAATTGCATGGACTAAATGTTACTCCACTATCCATATTTACCACACATGCATAAATCCATATCGCCTTATTCTACAACAAACATGAACCTACCTATCTTTCTATAACCGACAAAGACCTATCGATCTTATACTCCCAATCCTTCAAAGTTGCCACCAATGGATCATCTCAACTCCCAAAGTTGTGCTCACCTACCTTAAAACCTTGTATGCTCTAAAATATCCCTCTCCTAACATTTAAACGCCATAATCCCTTCCCACATTTCAGAATCACCAACTTTGTATCAATCTCATGATTTTCCGTTACTCTCTAATCTATGGATCTCTCTTGCCACCATTTGTATTCTTTTTCATTTCATTTTGTTTTTCAATTTCCCTTTTAGTCGTTTGATACCATATATTTATGTAAACACTTCTCATGCAGCTCCTATTCCTCCTAATAAGCTTCCATTACATCGAAATCTCCAACAGAAACACATTCAAAGCAGAGTGTACAAGGCATTTAAAAACAAAAAAGGAAAACTCAATTTACCTCAGCATAGCTGCAAACACCAGAGCCATCACGCCCACCTGTTTCTTGGGTATTCATAACGTCCCTTGAGACATCGGGCACTACGATATTACCATACAAGCAAACATCCCTCTTGTGTTCTTCATCAATCTCAACAACCCTTGATCCAGCCACTCCCTTACAGTAGAGCAATCTTGTATCATAATTCACATCAAAACCCCTCCCCAATGCCTGCACTGCATTTATAGCAGTGTGCAAAGCTGCTTCCTTTTCCTCCATTTCATCACCTCAAACCCAGTCCCCTAATCTTTGTTCCAAAAAACACCAAAAAAAGGGCAAAGTCAAATTCTAGATGCCAAACGAAAAGAACCCAATTCCAATCAAAGCATAATCACCACAGAGAGAACAACAATCCAGGGAAAAAAACTCAATTTGACCAAATGCTAACCCTTTCTTGATTCACCCCAAGCAATACCACAATCGAACCAAGAATAAAGATTCAATCTTTTTTCCAGATCAGAAAGCTACCAAAGCTACAAATTTCATTACCCTCATCAGAAAAGTTTCTCCAAACGTCGGATAAGGTTGACTGAGAATATTACCAAGAAAGATTTGAACCCAAAATCTCAGCTAAGTCCAGATCTTGAATCTTCCAAAATCAAAACTTTTATATCATCTCTTCTGCTCCCTCTTTCTCTCTCTATGTATCTATCTTCTGGTTCTATATATGTCTCCTTCGATCCCTGTCATTATCTCTCTACCGTGTACTTTTGTTGTTGCAGTATCTAACCACTGTTGTTGGAAGTGCCATTGACTCCTGACTTTGATTTACTGTTCTTTCTACTGCGGGAAATCACACGTGGTTTACCTGATCGTTCACCAGCTTCAGATTTCCACCGTTGATCTGTTTTGAGTGGAGGGCTGATGTTATCGTACAACTGGAAGAAGATGGGAGAGGGTACACGACAATAGGTTTGACTTTTCCATTTTGTGATGGGATTTGAGCTCAGCAAAGAAAAAGGGCCTCTATGCTTCAAATCCTTCAATAGGTTACCAATTACCAAAGTTTTCTTTTTTTTTTAACGCAAATTACCAAAAGTTAATTGGTGAAATGCGAGTTTTTGTAGGGGAAGTACGAGTATTTTTTCGGTTTTCATGGGGATGATAGTGGTGCACCAAAGTTGTACTCTAAACGTACATGATACATCATCCATTTTTTTATCACTCATTTTTATTTATTTATTTCTTATTTATTTTATTTGTCAATATATGTGGTATTAGATGGGGTGGTATACACCATTAGATGATGTTTTTTAGTTGATATTTTTTGAAAAAAGCTTACTTAAAGTAGTAGTAGTTTAATGTAGCTTTTTTTAAAGTTTGCAACTAATAAAGTATATATTTAAAAACATGAATTGGTAGAAGTTTTTATTGCCAAATACCTTCTCGTCAAGTTCAAACTTCAATGAAGATATTTATTTCTTGTAATTCAGTAGATTAAAAAAGTACTCCGGTATTTTTAGACACTTCGTCTATCATATACGGAGTAGTATTTGTTTAATTTTGACTTTTTATAGTCTAGAAAGATTGAAATTTGACCTTTAATTAAATAAAAATTATATGTTAATTAAATAAAAAATATATTTAAAAATATCTTACAAGATAAATCTAATAAGCATATTACTGTATCAATATCTAATTTACATTTTTGTTAACTAATACTCGAAATTTATTAACATTAATTTTAAAAAAATCAAAAATGAACAAATACCCTAGAACATAAGTAATACAATGTAATTTATTACCTCCATCCTAGTTTATTCATCCTATTTGATTTTTTTGAGTCAAATTGTATAAATTTTGAACAATACACTAATGATTAGATTTATTTTTTAAGAACTTTTAAAATTTTATTCCCTTATACTACGGAGTAATTTACAATACAAATGTAGAGTAATTGATTATTGAAGTTCATTAAATATTTAAATTTAACATAAAAAAATCAAATTCAACCCGATAGAGTGAGACGGAAGGAGTAGTAGAAATATCAGAAGAGAAGTTTTTTCATGTTTGACTTTTTTTAAAGAATACCAAAGTAACACTAATGAATAATTTTGAACCGTACCAAAAGTTGGTACAAATCGATGGAGATGCTACACATTTTTGGTAGGGCACACGGAACAAACCGAGGTTTTTAATTCCAAAAAAATCCAAAGTATGGGAGGATACAAGTTTTTAAAAACCGTCTCATGTTCATCCCTAGTTAGTGGGACAAATTCCGCGAACTTAGTTACCCACGTCCACAAGAGAAGCAAATGTTACCCCAAACAATAAAATAGAAATATCTCAAATGCAAACAAATCGATTGACTACTTACAAACCCCATTGAGATTTGTAGACATAAAATTCCATTAGATTTGGAATATGAACACAATGAGATTTATGACACACAGACTGACACAAACATCCAACGGCTAAGAGATGAGTGCCGCCAAACATGGCTAGTATGACTTGAACCGGCATTTCCTTTACAATACAACGGCCGAGTCATCATCTCAAGAAGACTACTTAACTGGTAGGAACCATTTTTTTTCTCTATCATTTTTTTTATTATTGGTTAATGATCATTATCATCATCATCAATTCATCATCATGGATGTCTCCCTCATTGCGAGTTTTTAGCCTTTTTCGCAGCAAAAAGCTGGCGAAAAAAGGAGAATTTACCTTTGCCTCTTGTTGAAAACTCAACTACGGCGTCATTGCTAGATGTGGGAGGGGATGCATGCGCTAGCAGATATTCATTCAGCATCCGAATGATCTGACCAAAGCTTGGCCGCATGTTAGGGTCTTCAACCCAGGATGACTGTATGATGAATGCTAAATCGGGTGGAATCTCTTCTCCAAGTATTGGTCTCTCTTGCTGTGTTACCAAGTCATAAAAAAGAACCGAATTATGTTCGTTCCTATAATAAAATAATATATAAAAAAAAGTGGAAATCATTTGTACCTTAAAAGCTGCGGCATAAGCAGCCTGCAAATTCGACATTCCCTCAAATGGCATGCGGTTTGTTAGCAATTCCCAAAGGACAATGCCAAAACTGTAGACATCGACTTTATTGTTGTAATGCTTTTTCTCTCCTTGACGCAGAGTCACCGTGCTGTACAGCTGCAGAAGTGCACAATCCCATTCATATTTTTTTAGTGATTTCCTAAAATGCCCTTTATAACATAGGTGTTTCTGCATATATAGTCCACTTTGGGAAAGTATTATATTCATGGTCCTCTATAATTGAGAACTACTCCCAAATAAGTCTTTTGAGGACATATCGCTCTATATTTGGGAACTATTCCACGAAAACTCCCAAAAGGACTTGTCATGGGATAGTTCCTAAATATAAAGGATCATGAATATAATTTTTCCTAAAGTGGACTATACATGGAAACCCCTATGTTATAAAGGATTAAAGGACGCTTATTGGAATTCACTCTATTTTTTATAATTTTTTTATAGCAAAAAAAAACTTGTGATTTAAGATGAAAGTACAATGCAAGTCACATTCCCAAACCTCCGGTGCCATCCAACGATATGTCCCAGTTTCGGCAGTCATCATTTCAGTCAAAGTTTCTTCCCTTGCAAGCCCAAAATCTGCAAGCTTCACAGACTTCTGGTTGGCTGTGAGCAATAAATTATCTGCAGAACAGAATTTATAATAGTAAATCAGCCAAAAGAAGAATGTAGTAAATCTATATCCATGACAAGTAATGATAAAATGGTAAACATTGCATGGCTTCTCTGTAAATTTTCAACAAACAAAAAATTACAAGAAAATGTAAAACTCTAATACAGCACAACTAGCTGTTTCGTACCGGGTTTTAGGTCTCTATGTATAATCCCATTAGCATGTAAACACTCCATTGCCCTCGCAATGTCAAGGGAAAAATTTAGTGCCACAAGAAGGTCCAGCTTTCCTGGACGAAGACTGGCTAGATACTTTCTGAGGGACATTCCTGGTAGTAGCTCTGTCACAATAACCATCAAAGGATCCTTACAAGCCCCGATAAACTGCAAAGAAACAACATAAAAATGTGAATGATTGAAGATAAAAGTCCAGGAAGTTATCATATGAAATAAGCATTGAGATCGTGTATATAAAACGAAATTTATCTAAAGATGAGACTGACTACAAAAATAATCAAACTCAACACATACAGATTACTAAATGATCAAACTAGGATTAAAGATTGTATACAATTACCATAAACACAAAGATATAGAAATAACTTAGAAAATAAAAATACTCACCTTCACAAGGTTCTCATGTTTTACCTTTGACATCATGGTTACTTCCCTCACAAATCGACTTTCCAGCGCAGACCTTTCTTGGGTGGTATCCCCGCGTTTAAGAACTTTTATAGCAACAATCTGATCCGCATACCTGAGAACAGAAACGTAGTTGGAGATAGGGTAATATCTTATCAATGAAAATCTGATAACTACACTTTTCTCAAGAAAACCAATGAAATGGTGAGGGTGTTTGATCTGGCTACAAAATTCTAGAAAACTGATCATTTTAAACACATAATCCAAGAGCACATCAGAGGTACTTTTCAACTTCTGTCTCTTATGTGTGTGCCAGAAGCTGATAGCCAAACAACAAAAACATTGTCAAACACTATCATACTGTTTGTGTTCAACACAGAATCTGAGAATTAGTTACAAAAAGCAGAACCAAATGCCCTCAGTATCATCGGTTGATGAATTATGCAAATTAAATACACAAATCAATATTAATGTAGGACATCAAACATGATGATCGCCACTGAATTTCTGTAAAGCTGAAGCATGACCAATGCTATTGAATAATGATAGTAGATTAGACAGACCTTCCTTGGTAGACTTTTCCATGAGCTCCTTCGCCAATTTTGGATCCAATATAAATCAGTTTTGGGTCAACCAGCACTCTCTCGTCAATAGAAAGTTGCTGCGAGTCTAGGATCGGTCCATTCAATGATAACCCGACAACCGAATCTCGATCACCAAAATTCCTGTCATATTTCTCTTCCTCTTTGGTTTTCTCATATTCTTCATCCTCTTCTCCTCCTCCTCCTACTCTGCTCTTCTCACTCCCGCAGCTCATAGTCCAGAAACCTAATTAGATTATACCCAAGTGCCTCTTCATACCCAAAACCCCCATACTCTCTATAATCGGAATCATTGACCAAAACCCATCCTTTCCCAGCCCAATTCTTCAGAACTACCTTCTAAGCTCACCAAATTGATTCATAACCCACCAAGAATTCCAAAACCCATATCCAAAATCACCATCCAAATCCCAAATATCTGAAGGATGTCAAGCAATCACACACGCCCCTAAACGAAATCATCCCAAAGTTTGGGACTTTTCTTGACTCTGAATGAATTTGAAATATGAAGAATATCAAAATGATCGAGATGCGAATAGATAAAGGAGATGAAAGTAAAGAGACCCACTACTACAGGAACTAAATCAACAGACCGTATGCACCAAACACACAATTCCCATGCATATAAGAATCATACAGTGGAGGAAAAGTAAGTTAAGACCTAACCCGGCAGCCTCCAAGACCACAACTTTACACTTTTTCTATCTTTTTCAGTGTCTGAGAAATTTGGGGGCACCCTTAAGTGGGATGGTGGGTCTCAAAAAATTGGGACTCTCTGACCCATTAATCTCTCTTGTGTCTCTATCTATATCTTCACCTGCAGAGGCCCATCCGTTCATACATAAGTAGAAAGATTCTTTGCGGAGATATGGCGTTGGTAGAGGATATTCGCCTGAGGGGGGGTTTGGGGAGAGAAAGAGAGAAACGAGAAGAACACGTTTGGGATTAATAAAGTGCATTGAATGAAGGGTAACAAATGGGAGGAGAGCACGTGGATAGCAAGAAAGTCGTCTGTGGGTCATCGGCGATTTCCAAGTCCTTGTGGTCGACGATGATCGCCTTCCTGTACGGACGAAATCACTGTATTGGACATCTTTTTAGTTTTAATTACTCACTTCATTCAAAAAATCATGTCTTATTTGATGTTCTAAAAATCAGACGAACAATTGGATCAAAAGTTAATTGATCGAACCAACCAACTTGGGTCAACAACAATTTGAATAAAAATATATACTCCGGAGTATTATATATATATATATATATATAAATTTTGGTTCTGATGAGAATGCGATCTTATGAAAAAATAAGAATGAATCTGGTGCTTTAGATTGTGAGATCTAAGAGGCAGGATCGCATCAAAATTAGGTGCACCAAAATGGTTTGAAAAAAACTTACTTAAAGTAGTAGTGGTTTAATGAAGCTTTTTTTAAAGTTTGCAACTAATAAAGTACCAGTATATATTTAAAAACTTGAATTGGTAGAAGTTTTTATTGCCAAATACCTTATTGTCAAACGGATAACCGTAATTCTCTAAATCAGATGTCACAAGTTCAAACTTCAATGGAGATATTGATTTCTTGTACTTCAGTATATTAAGAAAGTATTTTTAAACACTTCATCTATCATATATGGAGTAGTATTTGTTCACTTTTGAAGAGCTTTGACCTATAATGAAGACAAGAGTCACAAAAATGAGGTATGAAATTAGGAATTCGTCTTCTGAATTATTTATCCAGGAGTTATTTTCTGTTCTTTTTTTGCTCGATCCACTTCACGCATCCAACCTTCTCCTTCCTCCCCATAATAACCACCGCCCTCCCTCATCTTCATCTTCACCATCTTCCATCTCATTCCCCCCTCAGCGCAATTGCTCTCCCACATCTTTCTTCGATTTGATTCTTTTTCAATATTATCTCACCCTTATTCTCAGCCCCTTTTGTTGAACCCTAGCCTGATTCCAGCCATGACAAGTCTCCAGCAAGTAGCAGGCGGACGGACGAATTTGGGAATGGCAAGGCAATTCTAGATCTTAATTACAAAGTGTGATTCCATATGAGAAATAAGTTTAATTTCAGTTTTTGGTTTTTTATGGCGTGCATTTTACATATGTAATTCCAGATTGTTTTGAGTATGAATTACAATTACGAAGATAAATTACGAATTACGAAGCTATTTTTTTACCCAAATTGCAATTAAAGAATGCATGATTTTCTCATTTTCCCATTTTTGTTTTCCACAAATGAATCAAACAGATTTGGACACTTTTCATACTTTCTCCCAAACATCAGAAAAAGAAAATGACTTCTCGAAAATAACTTATTTTCTAGAATTCATTTTTCAAAAAGTCATTTTTAAAGTTTCCAAACAGACCTTAAGTTTCATTCATTTTGAAAAACATGTTGAATACCTCATAATTTGTACATTGAAGGGTGCATTCTCACCCATACCCGACCTGGGTCGGGTACCACCAGCCTGGGTGATCAATTAACGATTAGACACAGGGCAACTGGGACAAATCTAAACTCGACCTGCTGGGTTGCGAACCACCCGGGTGGGTTGGCACATGCTGCACTACCGGTCAGGGAATGCGTCTTGCTGGAGAGATATTCAGAGATCCCCAAGATATCCTTCGATAAACCACCCAGTGCATCATTCGGACTGACGTACGTATTGGCAGCTTAACATATTTGGAAGGTAGTGACTTGAAAGCAACTTAGCCAAGCTGGATTCTCCTGCGCCAACGGCTATATTCAAGTATCCCAACCAAGAATCACACACCAAGAGAGATAATTACAATGAGAAAGCAGCCAGGGAGAGAGGCAAAATGCTACGAGACAAAGGTTGTCAGGTGTAGCATCCCATCACGTGGGTGGCACGTGGCCAGGCATGAGTGCCTGCCACCATGTCACCTAGCTTCACAATAAATACACTTGTAACCTTTAGTAGAAGAGATCCAAATTCTATCTCTCTAGAACATATTGTGTAATTCCTCCCTATACTCTTCTCATATTTAGTACCAATTAGACTACAAGTGTTACCACATACATTTCTCTCGGTCAACCTTCATTTTTTGTGATATTTCATTCTCTAAACTCAGCAAATCACCCTAGAACCGGTCTAGATTAATTTACATGGGTAATTAATTTACACCATCATACATAATACTATTTATTTGTAAAAGTTTGTATTGAATATCTTTATACTCCAATACTCCCTCACTTTTAAATTACATGGTCAGCTTACCATTTCACATATCATGGTCAAACTTTAGTACTTTATTTACATATCTTTGTTATACATTTGATAAAATTGTAGCATTATCACTTCTTATTTATTTTGTAAAGTTTTTGATAATTTTTAAAATATACTCCTTCCGTCCCCATTTTGATTACAATTTTATTTTGTCTCTCCTCTCGATAACTTTTGTTTATTTTTTTCATTGATTATTTGATAAAATAAAATATTCTTGTCACCTCTTATTTTTAGAACTTTGAACGTAGTTTTTTTATATGTAATTTTTAATTTTATTGATGTACCAATTTGTAAATAAAATGATTTCTAGAATTGTGGAATTTTACACATCATAATTCTCATTTTGTCAACAAATAAATATCATACCTACCCCCTTAACCCCTCTCCTAAACCCCTACATCCCGGTCTGACCTAAACCAACCCCCAACCTCTTCAATTTTACGTCAAAATTTAATAAATTTTTGGGTCAAAAAAGATTGACACAAAAGTCAACTAAAATAAGGGATGAAATTGGAAAGGTTCGGGTGTGGGTTGGGACCGGGCCGAGATAGAGAGATTTACCAGGGGTAAACATCACGAACTTTACGAATGAAATATCGTAAATGCTCATATCGGAGTGTTGTCGTATTATGACAACACCCCCTTCTTGTCAAAAGAAAGGGGCTTATAATTTTTTTATTTATTTTTAACCCAAATTTCTAATAAATTGATTTAAAAATAAATTTAATCAAATATCGTAAATTGAAACAGACGATTTAAATTGGTACGAAAAAGCTGCATTAATAATATTTTTTAAATTGTTTTATTGATTGCAACTAATTAAATTTTTATTGATTTTTCAAAACTATGTAATGAATATAGAAATCACCCTAAATATAACTAAAACATAGATAAAAGTACCAGAATAGAATTTTCATGTTTTTTTTCCCGAAATAGGACTTTGCACTGTGGTAATGTGACTTTGCACTGTGGTAATGTGGCAGTGTACATGTCCACATCACTATATTTTGTTGGTAATGTACATGACCATATTTGGTAATGTAACTATGTAAGTCTTATTTCGGGAATAAAAACATGGAAGTCCTATTTTGGTATATTTTCAATCTTTTAGTTCTACTTTGGTCTTTCTCTCTAAAAAATACACTTGATCTTTTAAACTTGATGAATATTGGGAGAAAGACCAAAGTAGGACTAAAACATTGAAAATATACCAAAATAGGACTTCCATGTTTTTATTCCCGAAATAGGACTTACATTACCAAACATGGTCATATACATTACCAAAAAAGTATAGTAATGTGCACATGTACACTGCCACATGACCACAGTGCAAAGTCACATTACCACAGTGCAAAGTCCTATTTCGGGAAAAAAAACATTAAAGTCATATTTTGGTATTTTACTCTATGTTTTAGTCTTATTTAAGGTGATTTCTAATGAATATTTAATAAATACTGGTAATTTCAGGAAGAATACAAAAAAATAAGACTAGTAATTTCATGAAAAATACAAAGACGGAATATTTTTGTTTCTATTTTCGCTTTTCCTAGAATTAAAAAAAAACAATCCATCCCTAAATTCGGGGGAAAAACAAACAATTCCTCGTCCAAGGATGATACTGCTGTTTCTATCGGACTATCGGAGAATATCATGCGAAAACAATCTCAAATTAAATTATACTCGCAATTAGTCCGGCCGGAGCCAATTCTTGGGTTTCTGGTTTTCTTCTTTTGTCTCCCCACAAGCACCCAAATTCTCCGCTTCCAGATTATTTCCTCCTCACATAGAAGGAAAATAAGGGAGAGAATATAGTTAATTCTTGCTAGATTGTTAGATTGTTTTGAATTTATTCTATTCCTGGAAATTTCGAATCTCCTGCAGAAACCGAATCTACTTTCGTCGTATCTGATCGCGCGAGAGGAAAGATTGCTTCTTTCTGAAATATCAGTGGTGGGTTGGTTAATCTTCGGCCGTTCATGGGCGATTTTAGAGAACCTTCAGACGGCACGGCGGCGGCGGCGGCGAAGGAGATGTCAGCACCGCCTTCGAACCCACACCCGTCTTCTATAGGGTCCGACCGGTGGCTGAGGGCGGAGAAATTGACCCAGGACATCATTCAGAATGTCCAGCCTACATCTGTGTCTGAGAAGCAGAGGAAATCTCTCATTGATTATGTTCAGAGGTTGCTCAGAGGCTCCCTTCACTGCGAGGTTGTACTTAATTCTGACGCTCACGCATGTATTTTCTGTTCATTCAGATTGATTTCCTTTTTTTATGGTTTATTTTATTTTGTTTTCAGTGGGATGTGATGGGAATTTTTGTTTTTCTGCATGGGTACACAACTTTTTTATTGCATAAAGTTTAAAAAACTGATTTTTGTTGTTACTTTGTCTTATGTTCCTGAAATTGTTGTGCTCCAAATAATTATCTGATGTTCAAGTATTCTTGAATGTATAGGATTTTTTTAAAGGGTAACTAAAGTTGTTAGGTGATGTTTTGCAGATAAGAGTTAAGTTAGAACTAATGATTTGATGGAGATTTGATTGAACTCATTTATGGAAGCTATTTCAGTGTGATGAGCTTTGCTAGAAGTTACTGCCCCTATCCTAAATATCTGCTGGTTTAAATAAAAGACACCATTACTATTCTTAGAGTCAAACTATATCTTCTTTATTTGCTTATTTTCATCAACAAATATGACCAAATAATATTGTCATGTCACTCCTTGTTTTGTACGAGTAGAACTTTTGATGTAGTTTTTTAGTTAATTAATTTTATTTTTATTTCTATACCTAATTCTAAATAGATTGAATTGAGAATAAATTCAGTCAACAATAGTAAACCGAACTGTGTCTTTTATTTTGGGATTGCACGGAGACGGATACTCATATGTGCACGGGGTTGAGAACAGGGAAACACCAACCTTTCTATATTTTACAAAAGGATTTGGGCGTCGAGACGTCCCAATTACCCAAAGGGAGACACTTTGGGGACCGGAATTACCACTTGTTTGAATAATACATGCAACATAGATATGCACATTAAATTTACAAGGTTTTGGAAGTTCAAGTATTCTGTATATATGGGTAGTATTCTTAAAGATAACTATGGTTGTTAGGTGATTATCTCCCAATAGCAATTAAATTTAGGATTAATGATTTGATGGAAATTACAGAACTCAATTATGGAAGTTTTTTTTGTTGATGCTGATCTTTGCAAAGAGTTACTGCCTCGATCCAAAATATGCATTGATTTAAAGAATTTTTTGGTTCCAACGTTTTTATCTTAAAAAAAATCTAAGCAAGCATTAATGATTCTTTCTGAGTTTTTCCTCTAAAGTATAAATAAATACCATTTATTAATATAAGGATATAAATTTCATTTATATATTAATTTATGAATTTATCAAATATTTTAAAATGTACTCCCTCCCTCCTAAAATGAAGTTTGCACTGACTTCATGAACTTCAAGAAAAGTGTTGAAAAATGAAAAAAAAAAAGATATTTGGTGAAGAGTGAAAGATGTGGTTGATATTTATTTAGAGGAAAAGAGAAACTATAAGAGCCATATATTCATTTCAGGAAAGTGAAAAAGTGTGAACTTCATTTTGGACATCCAAAAAGGAAAATGTTAACTTCATTTTGGGACAGAGGGAGCATATTATTTCTGTGGAATATTACTCTGAAGTACTGAATTGTAGCCTGGAAACATGTCATCACTCCAAAGATGTCATCTTGGTTATGCCATTAGAAGACATAGACCTAGACTCGTGTCCTATATATAACTTCTAATCCTTTGTTGATATAAGTAGAAACTTTTGTTTCTTCTGTATTTATCACATGGTGCTAAAATGAAAATTACAGTGCGAATTGTTCCTTTTCTAGCTTGTATAGTTCCATTTCTGACGAGTATTTTCAGTGGTAGTGGTCCAAACCTCATCTTCTCATGACGAGCCTGTCTGTATATTTTAAAGTGTGGTTTGGCCAAAGTGTTTTGTGGCCTAGCCAAGTACCTCTTACCCAATTCTTAGTTCTATCTTAGTATCTTGGTACTAATGCTCATTAAGTTCGTTTGTTAATGGCGTCAAAATTAATTTATTCCCAAATATAACCACCTGTATTTGGTTGTGTGACTGTATTATATATTATACATTCATACCCAATACTCTCAGTTGATTATCATTAAATGCCATTTTGGGATTCAATTTGCGAATAATTTTTTTCTTTCTATTTGTGGGGAGAAGCAACAGTACTCACAAATCTGCTGCGTCAGTACTTGGGAGAAGATTGCGTTATATCATAAGGTTTCTTTACTCACGATTTTATTCACTTTACTGCATCATATTTTGAAAGAGATTTTTTTGGGGTTCTGATGATAAACTATCAAGTTTCCAACATGTCAAAGAGATTAGAACAGAAATGCAATATTTGCAAATGCCAATTCTATGTTCCTGCTGAGCACTCTTCATCTTCTGAGCATTTATTCATGGTTTCATGTATACACAAAGGTAGTTCCGATTTACATCCTAAATCCCAATTAGTTCAAAACAAAAAATGTTGAATATAACCCAAGATTTTCCGAGGCCAAACCGGCAAAACCAACAGTAGACATATCAATGAAGTTATGATCAGTGGCATGCATTAGTGGATGTACATTTGCTCTTCTCTCTGCTCTGATTTTGGAATTTGGACGGACTGTTACTTGCGCACTCTATGTATGATGAGCTTTTTTCCCCAGCTAGTTTTCTATGCTATCTGACAGCTTGCACGGTTTTACATATGCCTATTTATCTTTGTACACTTTGCGAAAAAGACTATGGTTTAATATTTGTATTCTAGACTTTGGTATAAAAGTTCTAATAATTGATAGCAGGTATTCCCGTATGGATCTGTTCCTCTAAAAACCTTTCTTCCAGATGGTGACCTTGATTTGACTGCCTTTGGTGGTTCCATGGTGGAGGATGGATTGGCAACTAACATGGTATCCATTCTTGAAAGAGAGAATCAGAACAAGGGTGCCGAATTTGCAATAGAGGATGTCCAACTCATTTCTGCTGAGGTCTTGTTTTGTCTCTACAGTTCCACACTTTATGCTATCTTGTGGCAAGTGTGTAATATTATATTTCCCCTGGTCCATGGAATAGTTGAAAACACTTGCAAAATCTGGAATCTCCTTTCATGGTTAAAGCAGTTGTCAGTTTAATACCCGAGTATTTTTTTTCAGTAGTGTCAAGCTTGCTTTCTATCATGGTAAATTAGGATATGATTTAGATTATAAAGAAAAGAAAAGCAAAACTGACACAACTGTTTTTTATCATCATCCATAACATGCTGTATTGAATTTCTTTGCTCCTTTTTATATATTGGTTGGCTATAGGTTCCAGAGCTAAAAAAATAGTTTCAAACTTTCAATGTAATCAATTTGAATGAAGGGATCTGTTTTGTTCATGAAAATTATGGAGTATATCCTAATATGCCAAAATTGTTTATGTCATATAATACATTTAAGATGTGTAATACATGTCCACAAATCTTCTCTTTCTTTCGAATATAGTCATAATTTCGTACTCTATGTAATAACTGTAATATAGTTCAACCTGAAACAAAACTAGTCCATTGATTTGTGAACTAAAAGATAATGTACTATGCTGTTTCGTTGTGAGTTGTCATGGACGATATGATTGTCTTTGTTATTGTCTTGTTGTTTTTTTTAATCAAAATAGTTCTATTACTCATTGTGTACTGGTGCTTGTTTTTCCTTATGACAGGTCAAGCTTGTGAAGTGCATTATACAAAATATTGTTGTTGACATTTCCTTCAACCAAATAGGTGGCCTTTGTTCCTTGTGCTTTCTTGAGAAGGTAGCCCTCAGACACATGATATTGAATTTTGCAGGCACTAGAACTCATTGATATACTTGTCATGAGCATGATACTTTTTCCTTGATGCACCTATATGCTTCATATTTCTCACATAGCTTAGTACCCTTTTCACCTGTCTTTTAGTCTTTCTTTTTCTTTGTTTCCGGGGGTTGGTGGGTGGTGGTGGTGTTGGGTGGGGGGGGGGGATGTATGCACGTATATGTTTGGTTTGATGATCATAGTGCATGCCA